TAAGGGCATTTTTTACAATCGACGCACTTAAGTCAATTGAGTGAAATGACTTAAATACCCCAATTTCTTACCATTTCCAAAAGCAGAATTTATTTTTTTATTGAAAATTGTTCAAAGTTTAAGAACCAAAACAAATTGGAGCATTTTGATAACTTTCCCCAACTTAAGTCACCCAAGCAAAAACATAAAAAATGCTTTCAAGTTCAAAATGTTAAAACAAATTTTTTTAATGAAAAATCATGTTTTAGGTTTTAAGCCCATAGCATGCAAAGGTATTCAGGTTTCGATCGGGTAGCTTAAGTGGCTAAATTATTAAAATACCATCACTTGTTCACGATTCCATAAGTAAAATAGATACAGTCTTGGAATTTTAACAAAAGAACTGAAGAGGTACCTAAGTGGCTAAATTATTAAAATACCCATTATTGTATTATATCTATATACTATATTATTAAGTGTCATCAAAATAATAAGGGATCTTAATTCTATAGAAATTATAGGAGACATTTCCATCTTTAAGGGAAGAGAGAGAGTGAAAGAGAGCAATCTCCTAAAATTAGTATGCGGTCAAGGAGAGAGAGTACGCACAAGGGAAGAGAGAGAGAAAAAAGAACCAGAGATTAATTGGTTAATATTTGATGATTTGCAATGCTACGTTCTAGGCTCAATTCCTATCAAGCGTAGAGGCCCTCTCCCCATCGACTCACCAAGAGAGAGATAGTTCCTATCAAGCATAGAGGCCCTCTCCCCATTAACTCACCAAGGGAGAGATATAGTGAAAGAGAGAGATCAATATTGTGAAGAGATTTGTTGTATGAATTTTTATATTTCATTCTTATGTGCATCACATGTAATCCGTAATTTTATTTAGGAATTTGATGCATCTTAAAAGTTCTTATGAGAATTTTACATTTTGAATTAATGAATTTTAATTTCAAAATATTTTAATTTTTTTTTTGAAATTTTCATATCACCATTTCAAAATTAAAAAGATATTTTTATGAATTATTATGCATACATAATTATTCATAACCAATTTTTACTACTATTATAAACTTCATAATATTAGAAAATATTGTTTGCGTCTTTACCACCAACTAAAAATTCAACTTTGTGTCTTTTAGAAAATTTTTAATAAATCTATATTTTATAGTGTGATGTTTAAAATTTACTAAGATTCTTTATTAATTTTTATATTTTTAGTGGGGACTCTTATTTTCTACGTATTTGCATCTTCTTACGTGCAAAATTAGAAACTCAATTGGAATTATATTAAACCCATTTATGCGTTTAATATACAAAATAATATTTTGAGATTCGTTGTTATACATCCCCACCTATATATAGTTTGCTGCATCTCTCATCCCCTAGCCGTCCAATCTGATTGGATGGCTGAGATGTCCCTAATTGCAATGTTGTGCTTAAATATTGTTTTGTTTTTAATTTTTTGTAAATGATATTAACACTAAATTTGGGGCATCCAATCCTCTCTTAAGATAGCACCAACGAAAAAATTAAAGAAAACTATTTCTGATAAAATAAAATGACCAAAATAACTTAAAAGTTTTGAAGGTATTTTGGTTATTTTATTTTTAAAAAATATATTATATTTTTTTTTTCTAGGTGCTCCCTATTGAGAACAGACCTAAAATTTCATATTTGATTTGTATAGAAAAAAAACTAAAATTAAAATATTCTGAGACATCAAATCTCGATCTAACTGTGAGCCTCGTGACATTATGGTTGAAGCTATCCCAACTGTATATTCAAATCATACGGCTAGAAGACGATATATTCGAAACATGATTTTAAGATAATATTTGTCTCTTACTGATTGAAATTAGTGTACATAAGATTGGAACAAGCAAATCTATCCTCCGGATACATAACAACCGGAGGACTTAATTATCTCATAGGGATACGTAAAAACAAAAGGTGTAAATTATGACACTTGTTCAATGCACTAGAACAATAAGATCCCCATATCCACCATAGTTGCATGTGTTAGAAAGTGAAGGTAAACAGAAAACGGGCATCCAAAATCATATTGAAAAGAGATGAAGTTTGAACGGTATTTATAGTGAGAGTTGTGGGCTAGTGACATTGTTAGAGTAACTATTATTAGATTTCAACTATCGTCAAAGTGAGACTACCTTTTTATTACTTTTTTTAGGTACGATACAGTCACACAACTATATTTTGAAATATTATTATATTAAAATAACACCTAATATTTCTTCAAGCTAAAATTACAAGCTTTCTTTTATAATTGAGGCCACCAAAAAGGTCTGCTAGGCCTATGAACCTAGTTTACGTTAACAACGAAGTATTATAACCACCACTTGAGCAGTGATGTAAACTTGCCAAACTGGCTCAGAAAATAAAGGGTACCGATCCTGGATTACAAGCCCTATGTTTTTTTCAGGATCCCACTAATTACTAGATATTTTTTATTTTTTTAAAAAAAAAAATTTTATGCAAGAAAATCCTATAAAACCCGGTTTGACCCACTGGTTTGGATGTTAAATCATTACTTGAACCTTTCTATTAAGCTGCATTTTTCTTGAGGCGGAATGATGCACACACTGATGAAGCCCTCATGAAAATCGATTTTAAGGAGGATTCAAAAAGAATTTAAAACTCTGCAAATTCATCTCCACCTTAGCAAAATGGATTTAAGCCTCTATAATCTAATTTAATTAAAATGGATTTTTTTTTTTTTCTAAACCTTTGCAATTTCATCTCCGCCATAGGAAAATGGATTAAAGCTTCTGTGTCTAAGTTTCATTAGAATGGAAGGTCCACGTTACAAGTAGGCAAAACCATCTTGATTTTTTATTTTATATATATATTTTTTATATTTTAATAGATTTTTATTTTAAATATACATTTTTTATATTTTAGTAGATTTTTTTTTTATTTTTTCAACATTTTTTTTACCGTCGAAAACATACCCCGATTAAAGGAGTTGAATGGACAGGTTTACCGATTAAGCCGCCTTTGGCCGATGTTTTGTTAATTGTTCGAGTTCGATTTTGCAAACACTGCCGCCAACTCATAAAAAATTACCAAAAAGACGGTTGACCGCACCGCACTGGATTCTGAAACACATACATAAAATCTTTTAGTTTTGTGGAGGAGAATGTAGAGCGCGTGGAAAGCAGGTGAGGCTCTTAATATTACTCCTCACCCCTTACTTCATTATCACATCGGGTGTGCGAGATTTGAACGAGTCATGATTTTTGATTGAGAAGAGCAGATGATTAATGGCTTCTCTTCTTTCTTTATGAATGTAATATATGGGCCGACACACCTCTTTGCCCACTTTAATGCCCTCAACGCTTACAAAGTAAATATTAGATTGGTTGAGTGTCTCATTCTCACCTTCCACTTTTCTCCCACCATCTTATTTATCATTCTCGATGCCTCTTTGGTTGACACATTCTTTGGTTGACACATTAAACAATCCAACTAAAGTGCACCTTCAATATTTCTCATAATATATAATTTTGATGAAAAATGTTCTTAAGATTATCTCAAAATCTATTTTTATATTTAATTATAAAATTTTAAATTTAAAAAATAATTAAAATCAAGTAGATCTATAAACATATGAAAATCTTAAAAATTGAAGGTGTAGATAATATGTTGTAAGATGTACTATTTATAAAACTCAAAATCTTTTTATTTTTCATAGTCATACATCTCGATGTCGAGATGATCAATCATAAGATTTTTCAACATTAAATTAACCTTTCCCCGATGGATTTTTTATTTTAAGGTTGCAAACTTTATATAACTTTTTTCCTTTGATTTTCATATTATTTCATATTGGAACACTTCATATGGCTTGGCAATAATTTTTTGAGTCATGGGTACAGGACCCTTAACAAGACCTATTGCTCTGCAATATGAGATCCTCATTTTGGTCTACCAATTCTAGAATGAAAAAGTTTATATAGAGATCTAAACAATCAAATTAGAGCCTACCTCAAAATTTCACTAGAAGAGGTTTTATTGCCCAAACATCTTCAAATTGACCATATTGACATCAAGATGCATTGACGTGAGAAAGAAATACATTTCAAGCTTTGAAAATAATGTATTTTGTAATACAAAAACAGATTTCAAACTTTGAAAATAGTGTATTTTGTAATACATTTTTGGACAGTCAATTTTCAAGATTTTCAAAGTTTCATAAATCGGTCTGTACTATTCTTAAGTTTTGAACTTTATAAATAATGATAAAAATATATTTTAAAGCTATCAAAAAAATTTCCAATACTGAAACCACATTTCTCAACACTATTTGCAAATAGGTTGTAATTTGATTATTTAAAGCCTAGGCTCTATACAAACCGCACCCCTTACTTGAAAGAGTGCTTATGGCCCGATGATATCGCTTATTTCGGTCTTATCCGTGGTGGCGTACAATTGGATTGCACACCAATGAAGATCTTTATACTGGAGTCTCTTCTCAAAAATCCCCATACATCTCTTATTGGTATGGACAACTATCAAGCATAAGTTGAAATTATGCCTTGAGGAAAATGGAACACCCAACAAGATGTAACAAGGTATATTTATAGACCTATCAACTACGAGATCACCGTTTTAGTTCTTTGTGACAGGGATCGTACCATTCTTTTTTTTCTTTTTTCTTTTTTTTTCCATGTCCACCATTCTCCCAAACTCTTTAAAAAATAGGGTCCTGTAATCCCACTGATCCACCCAAAAAAAACTCAATCCCAACCTATTTCCAAAACAAGTAGGTACATGTAATCTCCACTGATCTACCAAAAGAAAAAAGAAAAGAAAAATCTCAATCCTAGCCTTAATGTTCACCTTGGGTTGTCTCATAAACTTCTTAATCAAGGATCTCTCTTTACTTTGCCATTAAATAAATCAAATAACCAACCATACTGATAAGGATGACAGGTTCAAGGCAACCACCATTTCCCACCTACCCAAAGCAAAAAAAAGAAAAAAAGAAAAGGGGCAAAAACCAGAATTTCTTTAATGTATTCTCAGTGCCTGAAGGAAGAAGGCTAGTAAAAAAGCCCGAATTCTATACATGTCACTTGTGAGAGAAAACAAGACCTTCATGCACTCAAATTGTACAACACATACATTATAACACTGAAACAACTATTTTGCCCTTCATCCTATGGGGCAAACTTTGTACACACATTTTTACTAGTATATAGACTTCAGACATGTACTCTCTCCCATTCTTATTAAATATTTATTTTTTCCGCTATATGGGCATCATCCCCTTCTCTTCACAGGCATCGCATGCCTAAAATGTACTGTAAAATTGAGTGATTTTACTTGGGTTATCTTCATATCTCTGAGTATATGGGTCTCCATCCAAGTAGTATAGATGATTCATTTATTACTTAAAAACTCATCTTCAGGAGTCCCCCCACTTTCATGTCTTTTTATTTTGATTGGAGATGGCCGGTCTCAACCTCTTCTAGAGGTTGCTCTCTGCAAATATATCCAAAAGAGCCAATGCCTGCAAAAGATGTATTAAAAATGTATCAGAAAGAGATTTAAAAGATCATAAGACCCAGTATAAGTCAATGGTAAATGATTTATTGAATTGATCTCAGCTCAACTAGAGGGGAAAACAGAAATTTGAGTTCTCCCGATAATTAAGGGAGTGTAAAACTCAAATGCTGAAATGGACCTTATGCAACAGAAACATCTCTCTTTTTCTTAATGGAGAAGAGGTGGTTACCTCAGGAATATTGAGTTGCAATCGGAACTTGGGACCATCATAATGGTGAAGGATAGGCCTGAATGAATCCTCCTCCAATGGTTTGCAGCTCATCCTCGTCACAACTCGCACCTGATAACATAATCAGCACACAAATTTCAGTTTAAAAAGGAACACACAAGGGGACCTCTTGAAAGGACCCCATCTAGTTATCATATATAACATAAGCAACCAAGTCTAGACGAAATAAATCTAAATATTGACATTTACAAAATCGTAGGGAGATTATTAGCTCAAGAGAATGAGAGAAGGAAACAGTTACATTAAAAACTTGACTGATGCTTACCTGTGCAGGAAAACGTGACTCTCCTGGACATTTCTTATCCTCCCAAGCAGTGGGATCGATATTGGTTCCTCCAAAGCTTGCAGCCTGAAAATGCAAAGAAGTGATTTGAGCCCATGTTGATATCCAGCCACCAATGGTGGATGAAACATAAAGGGAATTATACAACCATTTTAGAGCTACTATTCTAACAAAATGGGCTCTTGGGTTTCAAAGGGATTAGGCTCGTAGTCCATCCGGAACCTTAGAATTTAGTATTAGATGTAACACATCATTGTCGTAAGAAGCAGTTTTGATGAGGTTAGATTACAGTGGTTATGATCGAATTCTTTAATTTCAAAAATACCCTAAAGAAAGTAACATAAACCAGTTCCCTAGTTCGTTTTGTTCTGACGTACAAGAACCCTACAAATCCTTCAGAATATTTAAGGGTAAAGTGAAATGGGTTTTCTTCAATATTTGCTTTTGCAGTGTTTCACTCACTGATTTGAGGATTTCCACATCTTTCCATGCAATGAAATACTGAAAAGAGTATTTATTTCCTATAATAACTTCTATTAATCAATAGACAACCGATCTATTCACCAGTAAAACTAGAAAATGACCATAAAACGTAGAATTAGAAGCAAACCTCAAAGATGCCATGGAGCTGGTGAGTGGAATAGTTGTACAGAAAGAGAGGCAGCCCTGGGGTTATTGCTCGGACAGAGTCTCTGTATCGCTGTGGAAGACCTGAAATTAAACCAAAGACTTTTTAATCATCTGATCACAAAAAGAACAAAGAGGGGGGTAGCAACCACCGCAAACTCTTAAAGCAGCACAAAAATCCGAGCTTTTTGACAATTAAGTTTCTGTTCATTTCAGAATAACCGCAAAAAACCTCATTAGCTTTCAAAATAGTAGGTTTTCAGTTAATTCTCATGAATTGGGGAATATTGTCAGATCCTTCTTGACGAAAAGCTCATCGCCATTTACGTAAAATTTACATAAAGAAGGAGAAGCATATGTATACAAGTAAATCCTATCTCCCACAAAGAACTGAACAATATTTCAATATAAATAAAAATTGAAGCACAAACAGGTGTAAATGAAACCCAAATATAAAAAAAGATGGGTAAAATGCAGAAACAGATAGATTATAAGAAAAATATACTTACCGAAAAGCTGTCTTCGAAGATCATCTTGCATGGTGTCGTTGTTGCAGACAAAGATATAACCCCCAAGTTTTTCATTTCGGGGAAGAGACTCTGATGGAGGGAGAGTCTTGAATCTCTTATCCGTTGCATTTCCATTGCTCGGTCCTTTGTTATTGTTATTGTCTCTGTCTTTGTTGTTCTTTCCACTGTTGTTGTTGTTATAATTCTTGACCTTTGTATTTTCTGAGGGCTTATTCAGATTCATCGAAGAACCATTCTTTCCACCATATCCCCCACCTCCAAGCTTCCATCCATCATTGTAGCTGTTAAAATCCGCATTTTTCTGCTTTGGTTTTCCTCTGGTTTCCTGGTTCCTCCTAGGTTCTGGCTTATTTGATGCTTTGATGTTCTCGTTGATTGAAAGGCCCGAAAAATTTGAGAGATATGAAGAACCAAATCCCCATTTACTTGGAAATTCATCATTTACAGTTGATTGGAGCCTAATCTGGTCGCTGAATTGCCAGAAAGACTGCTGATTCTCCATTTTTTAAAAGAAGTAATTGGATATCAACTCAACCAGAACTCCAGGGCCTTGAAAAGTACTGATTTATAGATACCTCTGAAGAGACCGCTCAAAACAAGCCGTGATCCTAATCACGCACAACTTGATTGAGCTTCTTTCGAAGAATACACTGAAATTCCTAAAAACCCTTCAAGTTCGATCAGATTCGTCCGAAGACTTTCAATTTTAGGTTTAGGGTTTCAAAACCCAAAATTTCTGAAAATACACACTGTAAACCGCAAAACTTTTCAGATTTCTCCCACAAAATTTACTTTTTCCACTTCAAAAAGCTATCAATCCACTAACAACTCAATATCAAACGCTTAATAAGACCTTCAAACCTTCAAAATTCTTGTCAAAACAGAGCTTTGAAGAGCTAGAACCCCAAAAAAATACAAAAAAATAACCAAAACTAAATCAAGCTCGATCCTTCGCGCCTTCGACAACACAACGATCTCTCAATCAAAAACCGAAAACCAACTGAGACCCTGAGTCGATCAAAACCCAAACATATCAAACAAAATTACGCAAAAATCAAACTGATAGAAGGCTCACCAATTCAACAAATAACCCTAAACTCTTCAGACCCAATTCTACGAAAACCGAGACAGAGGCAAAGGTATAAATAAAGGGCAGTAAGAGAGAGGTTCGTCGAAGTTGCAGAGAAAGGAAAGCGTGTGAACTTGTCAAAAGACTATTGCTCCACTGTCCAAGCTCAACGCGCATTTACTTTTACTTTGAAATTAATATTTAATAAAACGTTTTTTTTTTGTACTGTGAAAATGACATCATAGTGACGGGGGAGAGATAAGAGACGGAGAAGACGTGCTTAAATTCGAATGTCGGATAATAATCATAATATTATTACCTCCTCTCCTGAGGGGCTTTGGATACCCCTTAATCCCAGTGTTTTTTACTCTAAACCCTAAGTTTTTCATTTGTCACTAATTTTAATCATGGAGTTTTTTTGGATGAGCATGCATAATCATTGCGACGAGAGAAACTTAGGTCTTATGTTTGGAAATACTTACGATACGTCTACACCTTTTTATATTTTACTTGATATTATAATAAGAAAAAGTTTATATAAGGTTGTATCTTTAAATTTTATATTTTACTTGCAATTATAATAAGAAAAAATTTATATAAGATTGCGTCTTTAAAATGTATAATTACATATGCACCTCAAAACTTCATCGGAAAATGTTGAAAAAACCTCTAATTGATCATCTCGACATCGAGATGTATGAACATGAAAAGAAAATAATTTAGTCCCAAAAATAGTGCACTTTGCAATACATTATCTAGACCTTCCATTTTTAATATTTTCATATATTTATAGATCTACTTGATTTTAACCATTCTTGGAGTTTAAAATTTTATAATTACATATGAAAATAGATTTTGAGATAATCCTAAAAATATTTTTCACTGAAATTACATGTTATGATAAATTTTGAAAGTGCGCCTTAATTGGATTGTTTAAGATTGCAAGCTTATAGAAACTATACCCATTATAATATTATGTTTAAATCTTATTTTATTTTTAATTTTTTTAAAATGATATTGATATCACATTTAGGGAGTCTGGTCCTCTCTTAACCTTGCAACTACAAAAAATAATTTTAAAAAAATAATTTTAATAAAATAAAATGATTCAAATACCTCTTAAAGTTCCTCTTATATTCCCAATTGGAAGTTGGATAGAGAACTTCAGTTTGGCAGTAGTATCTCATTTGAGATGGTAAGAGTTATTATTGGAGATATATTTCATGCATCACGAGGATAAAGTTATACAGCTGCGTCCCAAATGGACAGAATGTCCATCTTAAGGATGGATATTAGGAAGGAAAAAATTTATATAAGGTTGCCACCTTATAGATTGTCACATTATAGCATAGAAGTAACGTGCATTTCAAAAATCCATTAGAAAAGAGTGTTTCAAAGTTCGAAAACCTTGCAATAGATTTGCTTGACTTAGATATGTATGATATAAAAAACAAAAAAAAACTAAAGTCATGAAAATCTTGTAATAAGTCATATGGATGGACTATTTTCAAGATTTTAGAATGTTAATAGATCTTCTCAATTTATGCCATTTTAAGAATTTTAAATTTCATAATAAGAGTTGAACATAGATTTTCAAGCCGTGGTAAGGTTTCCGATACCATTACTACATCTTTCGGCAAGTTTTCAAGGTGTGATGGACCTATTAGAAAATAGTGGCTCCAACAAAACTTAAAATGAATGGTGTTAAGATTAGCTAAAAAATATTATTTTTTATTTCTATCTTCTTCATATTCATGCTCGCCATGTTCTCAAACCCTAAAATTTTGGGTCTAAAATCCATCACTACACCAGATTTTGAAGGGATGACTTGTATAAATAATGAGTCAGCAGACTCATTCAAAACCTTTTCAATTGTTATTTTTGTTTTTCATGATCTATCTATATTACTTAATAATTTTCATGTTGTAAAAATATTGTTTTGAAGATCTGCTTAATTCTTTGTTTTTCTTTGAGGTCATCCATTTAAGAGGAGAGAGAACTGGGTCTTCATTTGAGTCAGAGTTGAGAGAAGGAAGTCTTGTGAGTTACAGCGTATAATGAGATCTTCAAGTTATAAGCGAAAGAGTGCAAGATATCCTTAGTTTTTGATAGAAAACAAAAAAACACAAAAAAAGAAAAAAAAATGGCATATATAATTAGTTTCCAAATACTCCTTTAATTAATTTAACCGGAACCCAAACTGATTACATGTCCTTAAGCAGGAATGATTATTCATGTAATATGCGAATAATTCAAGAGTTATGTTAAGGCGCTCACACTATGGAACAATTTATCATTGTATTCAACAAATTTGGAGACTTATATATCATTGTTTTTTATTTCGAGTTTTTTAATAGGAGTATTTTGGTCATTAGGAGAGGGATGTGATATCATCTACGTGCAGTGACGTCATGCTCCTCCTAATTACCAAAAATATTTTTATTAAAAAAATACTCCATGTACAAAACAAGAGTAAAAGTGTTCAAAATTTATTTTACAAAACAAGAAGAGAAGTGTTCAAAATTTATTGAAGATAATGATAAATTACACCATGAGCATCCTAACATAACCTAAATTAAATATTAAAATATATATCAAGAGGCTATTTACTTTTAGTGAGACCATTTTACTTAGATATTTCAACAAAAGAAAATGTAAAAGAACAAAGATTTTGGATAAAATTCGAAGTTTGTAGGAGAAGAAGCTTCATAGGGACGGGGAAATACTGTGAAGGTAAATGATTCTATTTTGATTTTTTTTATTATGGGGTAAAAGAGCATCTGGAAGGTTAGAGCGAGAAAAGTCCTTTTTTTTTTTTTGGAAAGGATATTGTTTCTAGAAAGTCAGTGTCGACGAGTCTTTTTGCCTTAGCTGCCAAGTCAAGACTCTAACTGCCCCACCTAGATTTTAGCTAGATTTTTCGGCCATAAATTCAACTTTAATTTTTAATTCCAAAAAACTGGTGAACCTCATGGCCCAAGAAGAAACCAACAAATCTCCTTGGCAGAGCTAGGAATTTGGAGTGTTTTGATTTTGCTTGCAAAGGAAATTATTTGAAATATTTAAAAGTTAAAGCAGGTAAGTTACCAAAAGGAGAATTTATATGATAAGCAGAGAAGCGGAAAAGTATTTATTAGAGGAAAAGGTTTATATAAGTGTCAACTTTATATTGTACAAATAAGGTGCACTCGGGCTTAATTGGTTAGCGCTTGACGATTTGCAGCGCGATGTCCTAAGCTCAATTCTTACAAAGGGTAAAGGTCCTCTCCTCGCTGACTCACCCAAAAAAAAAACTTAATAAATAAGATGCACTTAAAATTCCTGCTAGATAAGGTTGATCCAATGCTGCAAAACGGCTCAATTCTCACTAAGGGTAAAGGCCCTCTCCTCACTAACTCATCCAAAAAAAACTTAATAAATAAGATGCACTTAAAAATTCTACTAGATAAGGTTGATCCAATGCTGAAAAACCCTCAAATTAGTATCTTGATCCAATGCTGAAAAACGGCTCAATTCTTACTAAGGGTAAGGTTGATCCAATGCTGAAAAACCCTCAAATTAGTATCTCGACCTTTGAGATTCATAGATATGAAAAAAAAGGGATTTCTAGTCCTAAAAATAGTTCATCTTCTAATATATTATCTGCACCATTTATTTTTAAAATTTTCAAGTGTTTATAAATCGGTAACCTTGAGATTCATAGATATGAAGAAAAGGGGATTTCTAGTCTTAAAAATAGTTCATCTTCTAATATATTATCTAGACCATTTATTTTCAAGATTTTCAAGTGTTTATAGATCTGCTTGATCGTCATCATTTCTGAAAGTTTAAATTTTATAATTAGGAGAAACAATAGATTTTCATAGGCTTTGAGACACTAAAACTTCATTTTCGATATAGTTTTGAGGTATACCTTACTTCAATAGTATAAGGTTGATACCTTATACAAACCTCACTCCTTGTCATATTGTGAATTCTTTGAATGCTATTTGTTTTTAGTACGAAAAGGTCACCTTATCCCATCAGTAAAATGTACATTTGAGTTATCAAGGGCTTGTTATTGGAAATATATCGGATTTGGCTCAAAAAATCGGAGTGATTTGAGCCCATGTTGATATCCAGTCAGTATGGTCATCATGGGCTTGTTATTGTAGATATATCGTAAACAAAATGAAAACAAATCGTTTTTATTTTAAAAAATCGGATATAAAGATATCACTGATATGTCAAATTTGGCTCAAAAAATCGGAGTAAAAAAATCTAATAAATTTATAATATTAGAAATTTTGAAATTCTAAAGTATAAAAATTATGTCAAAACCAACAATTATTAATTCATCTATAAAAACTTTACTAAAATAATATAATTAAATCAATTAATTTAGATGTCGTGACTCTCATCCAATATTAAATACATAATTAACTAATATATACTAAAAAAAAAGTACCATATAAATCTACCCATTAAATACTTTAAGAAACATCACACCTACTTATTACATATCAAAAACAAATGTACTATATAAATTTATTCATTAAAATACTTTAACTATGATATGGTGACAAATATACTATATAATTTATTCGTTAAATACTTAGCAAGTACCAAAAAAAATACATGATTTTTGTTTTCTCATTACAATGATTTAACTATGCTATATGACTATGGTCACTCCATAACTATGGTTAAAGTTTTATAAATTTTTTTAATTGAAAAGAGGCTTGTAGAAATTTGGGTTTCACATCTCTCTTTTTACAGTTTAGATAGAGAAGCAGGAAGAGAAAAAAATAAAGCTGCACTCATAGCCATTAGGGTTTATAGAGAGGAGAAGAAGAATGAAGAAGAAAGAGGTCTTCACAAACTTAATGGAAGAGGTCCTAACTTTTAGAGAGAGAAAAGGAAGAAGCCTAATAGAAGATGCCCTAACTGATTTTTAGAGAGAGAAAAAGAAGATGGGATGCTGATTTGGGATATAGTTTGAAGATGGTTTTTTTCTTTGATTTGGGATAGTTTGAAGAGAGTTTTTTATTTTTTTTGGGAAACAACAAGCAGAACTGAAGGATTAAGCTTGGGGAACTAATCCTATATGTACAATTGTTTGCTCCTGTAAGATTACGGTTTACACATAATTAAAAACAAAATATTGATTACT